TTCTTTCTGTCGCTCTTTATCCTGATATAAAACAGTTAATTTCACATGAATTAAATCTTCATGTATAGGTCAATGTAAAAATAATAAAAAAGCCAAAAACTCTGCGTTTGGTTGAATATTATGGACAGGAATCACTCATTATTTTGTTAAAAACAAAAGTATTTGACCCTTTCAAAGACCATGCTAATTATTAATCAATTGGCTAGGATAACATTTCAGGGGTCTGGTAAATTTCCCTCTCGACATTAAACAGGCACATGGAACAATCACATGACTGTGGTAAGCTAAGAGAGGTAATGTACATTGTAGTAAACTTGGCAATACCAACAAGCACTGAAACACAATCTTCAGAAAGCTCTGCTATCACAGGTTCTTAACAATGAAATACTTGTATAGTAGGAAGAAAGCAGGGATTTCATTAAAAGCCAGCAACTGGTGAATTCCAGGGGCTACTCTCCACAACAAAGCCAGCTACAGTACCCATCCCACCTTCCAGTTTTAGCATGTTTTTTTGGAAAACATCTAATATATTCTAAAGGCAGTCATCAATAAAGGTGTTTTTTGTTGATATTTTGTCTCCTTTTTGGTTGTTGGGCAATTTTTGTAATGAGTTCTAACAATTCAATCAACAACATGATCGCTTTGCTATGTCGAATGGACAGAAGAGAAAGACTGGTGACAAATCTGTCTCAATTACCTCTGAATTGTCACCTACTTATTGTCAATTACCGCTGAACTGTCGCCTACTTATGTCCTAATATAAGCCCACTTCTGAAATTAATGAAATCCCTTAGAAAATGGCGTAAAGTAACTTGAAAAGAAAACAACTATCTCCAGCCACCAAAATTTAGCCAGAAAAGTTTGTGCAAATGGTGAAATTGGAACTTTTTCCCTACATTTCTCTGTCAAGTATGAAAAGAAGTCATTCAAGTTTCAAGGTACTTTACTGATGACCAGATAAATAGTCAAAAACAAAAGCATCATACCTTCATCTTGTCATCTTTCAGAGCAATTAACACTTCATCTGCAGCTCCACAAAGAATGTCTCGAGGCTGAGTTAAAAAAGAATTCAAAGAAAGATAGCTGCATGTGATTTACACCCAGAAAAGCTCTTTTGGTTTTTAATTACATCTATAACAAAAGAGTAAATGTAATATCCATCAACAAAAGAATGTGTACAGAAACACTCGCAACAAAAATCCGGAGAGATGCTGTCATTTTACAGAAAACACAATTCCATAGTTACCTGATCACCAATGGCAGCTTGTATAAAGCTAAGAAGGACTTCGTACGTGGATTTGGTTTCCCGGGTTTTTGGCCTGTATCGAACACCAGCCAGGTCTGATGATTCATCTGACAGAAGACTGCTACTGGTTTTGCTCTTGGTAAAGTCATCTTTCTCCATTAGTTTCTGACGTCTGCGAGAAAAGAAACTCGACTTCTTTAGCTCTAAGAGTGACTAGCATCTAGTTTCTCCTTACAATATCACCCCTGCATCAAACTCTAAGGTCACAAGAAGAAAAGGAATGATCAACAATTTAAAAAGCACTTGATCGGCACACAAATTCTCCTTGTCATTGCCACTGGAACAGAACAGAACAGTACAGGGAAGATGGCTGGGTTGCAGGTTGGACAGGCCAGTCAGGTTGTTCTAGCACCTCTCTTTGCGACTCAGGTGTAAAATGGGATAATATACCTTTAAGTTTTGAAATTATAGTGGTTCGCTGATCCTGACAAACTGGATCACAAACTTTAATCCACCTAAGCATTCAAAGCAGCATAAAGCAATCTGTGGCCTTTCCTTATATTTAGGCAGCTCGGAAAGCCATAAAACTCTTGAACATAAGTTTATCTTTCAAATCTGCATTCTTAACCCTATAGGTATCAATGTACATTTTTCATTCTACTAATTTATTCATGTTTTTCTTGTTACCGTGCTCCCATCTATGGCATAACTCCACTTCCTGCATATAAACCCACACACAACCCACAATTCCTCCATTCATTCTGATGAAGGGCTCAAAACATCAGCTTTTTTACTCTTTATGGTGGCCAATTTACAATTTCAACTTAGTTGATATAACCAAATTACCTTGTTACCCCCACCAACCCAACACCACAGTTTCCTTAGAAACTTACCGTTTAAACAGAAATAAAGTGCACATAGAAGCAACAGTTTACTTACTTGGCCTTTTTCTCTTCTGATACAGGAGGTTTTGTTCGTTGGTACTTGTCCCCCATTTTGATTCCCCCAATGTGTCCCACAAGGGACACAACCTCTCCTGTGGCTTCATCACGTCCTCGCCGCTCTATCAAGGAACGATCAGCTTGCAACACAAGATTGGAGTTCTGCAAACAAATATACACATAATCATACGAGACGGATGTTTGAAGAATCCTTAGAAATTCATAGCAGCAAAACTTGATAATAGTTAATAGAATATTGTGTTTACTTGAAACAAATACCTCATTTAGCTCTAAAAAATACACTTTGCACGAATAATACTTGCAGTTCGTGCTAAGACTATGGGATCTGAAATTAGTAGAAGCCGGCTCGAAGCTCACGAAAAATAGATATACGTGTTATAAATGTTAGGAGCAGATTGTCTTTCCGAGGCAGCATTGCACCTGATGGGTACTCGTTACGATTGCTCTAAACGCTACAATGTGCCGAAGATTTCTACAACCACGTGGTTCGAAACGCTGCAAAAATCCTGTATAAACTCACCGCTTTGTACTCATATTGCAATGACCTAGCCGTAGCATCAGCCATGATGCTGTATCAGACCAACTCTTCGTCAAAATAGCTTTTTATTCGCCTGGATGAAATTAAAACCGTCGCCTAGAGAGGGTCGATTTCCACAGTCAGCAGACAGAATAGCCAAGATGGCTACCAAACGTTGACCGTGCGTATGCCAATGGTAGGTATGTCATGTATAGGGAGTCATTATGTCTCTAGTACATATTATGTCCAACACTTTACATACATAATACAAAAGCGCAGTCCGCTGACCATCACCAGTCGTCTACCTAATCACGGGGAAAGACTGGGATCGACTGATACATTGATCAAATTTTCATGCACCCAGTTTCAAGTTCGCCAGCCGAGTTGAACAAGAAGGTCCGCTTTTAGATAAAAGTGTCTGATTTTTAAAAACCAGTGTTCGTTTTAAGGCACCAATGTCTGGTTTCAGAGAGAAGTGTCTTTTTTTTATACTAGTGTCCGATTTGAGACTTGAATCCGTTTTAAACATTAGTGAAGATGAAAGCTAAAAGGAAAGCATATTGCTCGCGCGTTGTCTTAATACTGACTTGGTTGACTTCAATACTTCAAATTTTGGGTGCTGCAACAGAGAATGGGCTTCACTTTGGCTTAGAAGTTTTTACTATCATTATTATTCACTCGTTTCTCTATGTATTTTTCTGTTGTTTGTTTTATGTATTTGATAGTGTCTTGCTGCCAGGAAGCACCTTGATAAAGTATGGACGGGTATTCCTCTTCTGCGCTAAAACAAATTTAAATCTTATATTATCGTAAATTCTACGCTGATAAATATTCGCGCACTTAAAGTAGTTATCAGCCGGGTGTGAGGCAGCTCAGCGGAAGTGACGTAAATTATTTTCTTTCTACTTCCGTTATATTCTTCCGTGTCAGATGATCTAAAAGTTTAACTGAAAAGAAACAGCTTCAGTTGCAAGCCTAAAAGATAAAGTGATGGCGAGGAAACAAAGTCTTTGTGTAACTTTAACCTTTCAAAATGTCGGTTTTTTCAGCTCGGATTTGTGGCACGTTTCGCGTTTAGGCCATTTATCTTAGCGAAAAAAGCTCGGTCCGTGACTTACAGTAAAAACCTCGAACTCGGTTAGTTAGCGGTATTTACTAATCACTGCTAAATCCTCTTTAGCAACACTCCTTTCACGGAAAATACCCTTTAAAATACCTAGAGGCCACTAACTCCCATTTCCGACATACAAATTTTTCGTTTTAACTACTGCCAACCCCTTGCATGAGTCAATTTCCATGAAAACATGGAAGTCAGAGATTTTGGCCGAGCTTAAATCGTCTGTTATTCCAGTAGCCTTTTAGATCTGCTCCGAGTCAATTCACCAGCAAAACGATTTTAACACTGAATCAACGAATAGAATGAAAAAAAAAATTAGACATACTCCGTTCTCCTGGAGATGTATATCTTGATGGAAGAGGAATCTGTTTCCCCGAATCAAAGTCAACTTTTAATTCGTTTTGGCTGGAAACAAAATAGATGGCTTTGATAAAATAAGTGAAATGTGACATGATGTTGTCTTTAAGCGCTTTCATAATTTTTGGCAAGCGAGAGAACAGAGAGTGGAACTATAAAAATCTATTAGAGACCAATTTACACCAGCTCTTTTGAACAGAATGTTGTGTTCAACTTGAATACAACTTCCGGAATCTGGGCAAGTCACAAAAAGGAAATAGGACGTAACAAGGCTGAGCTGATTTTAGTCTAAAACAGGGTCAGGATTCAAGAAAATGCTCTTCCTTCTGCACGTGTATTTCATAAGTATGGATATGACATGACAAATGCGTAATCGGTAGGAGATGATTGGAAATGCGTAAAAGCGTGCAACGCAAGTAAACTTGCCTCAGAAACATTGGCCTCTGCTAAGCACGTCACATTCTCCCCTTTTACCGCCTAATTTTAAGTCAAGAAATGGAATCCATTGGATTCAGATTCAAACCATTGCATGATTATTCAAAAGTTTTCCGTTCACAGAAATACCAAGTGGAAACAGACGTAGAAAACATTATACGCAGTGTACCACAATAGACAAAGTTTTAACCGGAAGTTCATGATCTTTACAGAAATCAATCCGTTGCATTCATAAAAGCAACAGGCGGAAATGATCTCGGTTTTAAGCGTATCAAGTATTGTTTTTATAGGCTTTCGTTGCAGGAAATCAGTAATAAAATCGGAGCAAACAGGACGCTTTAGAAGTGGTATTTATAAACGTCAACTGGGGGTTTGAAACCATTATTTTATCGGCAGTACTGAGTAAGGTCACATAACATTTGAAAGAAAACCACACAAGACGACCGGTTCTGATTGTCTATTAAGGTGAGTAAACATCTCGTAGGTTGCAGTTTCTTTTTGTATCTGTATGTATGTAATATGTATGGGTTCTGTGCATGTGTGTGTAATGTAGTTTGTGTAGTGTACCGACCTCTTATGTTATATATATTGAAATGCATACTGGCACTCAGTTTCTCGGTGCTAATGCCTTTTAACCATTTAGTGCCAGTTATTTAAACCAAGTTTAGCCGTTGAATATAGCCGAATCTTTTAACTGAACGTTTATTTTTGTGAATTGGGTCATGAGGAGGGAAAGCTAGCAGTGGAAGGACATTTATTAAATGAAAACAACTCTCATATAGAGAATACATAAGGCCCCCTGCTTGCGTTAAACCGCGGTTTGGTACACCTCTTCTAAAAAACAGGCCCTTACTGTAGAAAGAAATTTACATTTGTTGTTGTATTTATTATGTTATGGGTTGAAGGAATTTTAATGCCTAATTGTCAACTTTCTTTTTTGTTCTTTAGTTAGATCCATAGCACAGAATCAGCGTTCTTGCATTTGAATACCCTAGCATTTGTAGCCAATCTTTGATCACATTCATGTACCTTTTCTTGTAAACTTAGATATTTTATCAACTTTCTACTTTCCGTTTGTGCTTTTGTCACTAATTGTGGTCTACTGTCTTATCATCGTAGTTTTTCTAGCTTTTTATGCAACGATTTAAATGTTGCTATTTCCGGTTAGATATATTTACATAACTCGCACCGATTGGTGTCTGCCATTTACATATTGTGTGTGCGATCGAGTTTATTTTATCTAATTTGTAAACTACATCAAGAAAGCAGTGAAAGCTTTGAAACGGATGGGGAAATGGTTTCACACATTCGCGAAAGAAAGTTTGATTGTTATTACCCCTTGTATATCAGATGTTCTGTACGAAATAGGTTAAGACGAAGGACTTACTGATTTTCATTTCAATCAAACCACACGAGGAGCGCAAATGAAGTTTTCGAGAACGTTTGTTTAGCCTATGACCTGTTTTTGGGATGGTTTTTCATTGAAAAACAAAAAAGGAAAACTTGCAACGTTCTCGTCAATTTTCGTCTAGAGTAAGCTTTGAGTGATATCCTGAAGAACACCTTGGAAGATAGCTAACTCAGTTTCCTTATCATACACAGACTGAACAACAACCATCCATTCGGTGTCCTTCGAAGAAGAGAACGATTCACCGCATTACAGATATTAAGAGATAAAATGAAGGTAATGCATTTGCATAGGGTGGTGTGATGTGATATGTTGTGAATGGTAACGAATCTGGATGATTCTACTTTATAGACTCCATACAACCGCATTCATTTGTTGTTCCCACTGCGTTTGTTGCCATCCTTCTGTCAAGAGGCTCAGAAAAATAGATTCTATTTCACCCATTCGTATATTTATTCATGAATTCATCTCAGTCAAGTTTGTGGAAGTCGCAAAATAGTTTGTATTCGAATACTAGTGCTGGAATTCTATGCTTCCTGTGTCCCGACGACACGTAAGCTGGAAAGCTAACATAGGCGGCGGAGCATGGGGGCACAGGGGGGCCGTATCCCCAGTAACAAAAATTTGGGGGGCTCACCTGGACCTCTCCTGCCTCACGCGGGAACCCAATCGAATGCTAAGTTGAAAGATTTTAGACTGTGCAGGAAAATACGAAAGTGAGCCAAGAATCGATTACGGACACACTCGAAGCTTTAAAGATTGCAAAGACGTTTGCTTGTGCCAACGAACAACGCAAAGGGTATTTTAGAAAATTTGAGTAGGGGTATGCACATGGCTAGGTGAAAGCCCCTTCCCCCTCCCCCACATTTCAAAACACTCCACCGCCTCTAGCTTATTAGTTCACGGATGGACTAAAAGCAAAGATGAAATTGTTTTTGCCGACTGATTATGCCAGTGATTCTGATAATGATCAGAGAGAAAGTTTTTTTCCTGTAAAGTGATTACAAATAGCTAGCAACTGATGGACATTGATTTAGTTCTGGGTTCAATCGAAGAAATTTAATTTTTCTAAGTAACCAGCATATTGTTTCAATTTGGGTAAGCGGATATCTCTTTCGTTTCAAATTAGTGCCAACTGAATTAGATTGTAATACTAGAGGATTTTTGCAGCTTATGTTTACATTATAAACAACTGTGAAAAGAGAGATTTTGGCAATGTTAATGGAATTCAAAGAGGCATTTGTGAAGGAAGTCGAAAATGTAACTTTTTTAAAACCTGGCTATCATTATAAATAAAAAGTCCGCTTATCCCGCAAAACTATTTCTACAAGATAAAAGCAATGTTCATTTGAACGTCGCGATCGAAGACGTGGCGGGTTATTATTGGAAATGCTTTACTTCGCTCTGTGCTTGGTATAGAAAACTCGTGCCACCCTCTCAACCAATCAAAACAAATCAAAATCAAACCTTGGGCACTGGTATTTTCCCGCGTTCGAAGCCACGCATTAACAATGGCACGTGACGTTTTCCTTTGTACAGATTGGCTGTTGTGTGTACGTCTCGGTTAAGCGAAAAGATTTCACGCGGTTGATTATATACTATTCAAAAATAATTTTTCTTTTTCTCTTGCTTCATCAATTTAGAGTTTATCAGCTCTGGTTCTTCCACTCCTTTTTCTCACACTCGTCACCATTCCACTGCCGTCCCTCCAAAGTCCAGTCCCTCGAGAATCAGCGGGCAAACCATGTGTGCGCCAGACACATATGCGTAATGGCTTCCTAGTGACAGAATGTGAGTCCGCATCTTTTGGCTGTCTGAGGAGTATTCCTACTTACGGTTACCCGAAATGTCAACCAGTTTATCAAATGATGGAAATTCCACAACCTGGAGAGAATAACACCGTCACTTCCCATTTGCGAGGAAAGCAAGCCACTATAGTCGATTGCAAATGCGCATCATGACTGGTCAAAATATTGTTAGTGTATACCACTCGGCCGTATTAGCTTTTTCTTACTGGTTATGAAGTGATTAGTAGGAACATTTCACCTCGGAGTTCCAGAAGTTGATTCGTGATGTTTACACGGTATTTGGACAGAGATAGACTCGTTTTTTTTTTGTTTATATGTGTTATATGCTAAAACGATTATTCACCTCAGAGTCAGTGAAAATAGTGGATATTTACCTCCACTTTGGTGAATGACTATAATATTTTACAAATGACTATAGTTTCCTTTATTCCTAAGTTAGAACATATACTTCAAGCAAAGAGAAACTCAATTAAAGCTTGCTTTTGTTGAGGATTTTTGCATGCACACTATCACTAATAAATGATTGCTAACGAAGTTGTATCTAGTTGATCGACTGAAACGAGCAAAGATATTACTTTAAACGATTTTACTGCTCTTTATGCCGTAACCCTGTCACTCTAGAGGGTGACCAATTACTAATTTCTCCTGACAGCATTAATACGTAGTCATGTAGAAAGGTAATGAAAATCATGAGAAAATATCAATAAGATGTTTCTTGATGTTGCAAGAAATTCTCAGAGCTATAATTAAAAGAAATTTATAACAGAACGTGAGGAGAATTGAATTGTAGATCTTGGGAGCGCAACGATTCGGGGCCATGCTGATGTTCCGTTGAGTAACAACGTTTTTACAAGATTTTGCGACTTGACACATGTAGATTGAAGAATATGCGTTTAACTCGGTTTTCGGTTTCAATGCCCAAAACATTGTATTCTTTTGTTTGCCTTCAGTCGTTTATCATAAATTCTCACCTGAATAAAAATCCTTTGAAATCACTGGCAGTGATTCTTACTGAAACTTGATTGAGAAAAATACGGGATACAGCCACAGGGGAGTAGGCAGGAAGGACTTTTCAGATGCGGCTTTCGTGAAGTGGATTGTGCCAGTGCGCTAAATTGTAAATCAGCGCGGTGAGAAAAATAGTCTGCTTATAAGCGGTAGCGCGAGATTCAGCGGGGCGAATATTCGGTCGCAATCTTGAACGGATGGAAGATCTGGAACGAGTGAAAAAGCGAGGGGGAGGGGCAAGGGGTTTTAGTTTTACTCCCCTTCCCCTCTCCCCCTCGCTTTGTCCCTCGTCCCAAACATTCCACCCGCTCAATATGGCGACCGGATATTCGCTGCGATGAATCTCTCGCTTGAAGACACAAACTACCACCTGCAAGCAGACTATGAGAAACACCGGGAAAAAAATGCATCTTCCAATATGGTAAATCTTTGGAAAATTCGAGGTTTGAAAATCCAACATTGGATAGTCATTGGGAAATTTATTGTGTACCAATAAAAGTCCAATTATTCTCCATCAAAGCAAAAAATGCTTTTCCTTCATGATCTGCCAGCTGGAGTATCACTGGAGGTTTATTGGTGCACAACGCACTTGGTATTCCAATGTTGGACTATGATGTGAAATCACTGGAAGTCACTTTCTTGGTTACCAATAATGACATAATGATAAACCAAACATTAACAATCGGCTGGTTATAGTTGGGATATCATTGTGGTTTTATTTGAATAAAATGTCCACAGGTATCAATGTTGGATGACAATGTATAATCATTGGAAGGTGACTCTTCAGTAACCAATGATAGCACAACGATATGCCAAGCTATTAGAACAGGCTGGTTAGTATTGGAATATCATTGTGGTGTTAATCGGAAGAGAATATGGGCAAGTTTCCAATGTTGGATGACAAATATGTATAATCATTGAAAGCTGACTGTTCAGTAACCAATGATAGCACAACAATATACCAAACTTTTATAATAGGGTGGTTAGTATTGGATACTGTTGTGATATATATTCATTGGAAGAGAATAATACGCAAGTTTCCAATGTTGGATGACAATGAAAATCATCGGAATATGACTCTTCAGTAACTAATAACAGCACAACGATAACCAAGATTTTCGAAATAGCAGGGCATAATTATTTGATTTGCTCGTTAACATATTTTCACTGGGAAATTCGCAGAATGAATCTGATGCCTGAAAAACTTCCCCAACAGATCTAGAGCTGGACAAGCGATCCGATTCACAAGTATCTGATATCTCTGATGGAAGGTAGATGGGAATACTAACTGATCATCCAATGTTTCCCATCTAGCTCTTCTTGTCCTTTGAAGATGCCTCCATGCTGTTATGGGATAAACAGCTTTTCCTTTACACATAAGACAGTTGCAGTAGACATGCACCTAAGTTGCCAGAAGACGATATCTGCCTCGCCTCGTTGCTTTCCAAACATCTACAGAGATTTTCCTTGCTTTGTGTACGCCGTCGTGATTTTTGTTTCAACTTCAAGGTAAAACGAATGTAGGCATAGAGGTATTACAGTGTAAATCGCGAACGTAAACATAAACTAGGATATGAAAATTGCGTAACGAAGCTCTGTCGAACGACAAGACTTTTGCTGCTACCCAATGATCACCGACTTTGGAGACAAGAGTGACTGGTGTTGAGTTTCACTAGCGGTATATCTCATTGGTGGATGCGCAAAGTTTGCGCGGGGCAAAAATTCGAGGGCAACTGCAACAGGTCAACACAGTTCGACACGATCAACACACAAGTCGAGAAGTCTACTTAACAAATGGTAAACACCACAGCGTACACTATTGAGTTATGGATGCACGCGGGAGGTTGCTAAGCACGAAAGAAGCGTAAGAGTCGCTCGAGGCGAGTGCTTAGCAAACCTCCCAAGTAAATCCATAACTCAATAGTGTACGCTGTGGTGTTTACCATTTGTTTTATACTATAAAACATTGACAAATTGTAGCTAAAGAGTTCCCTTTTATTTAACAAATCTTACGTGACCAGAAAAAACAAGCGCGCGCGGAAAAATAGTCTTGGCATTTGCTCACGTCAGCAGCGTACACCCATGGGAAAATAGGGAAAGCTAAATTGACCAATCAGAGTGCGCGCCTTACTTAATGGTTATGTTATAATTGCATTTGCTCACGTCAACAGCGTACACCCATGGGCAAATGGGGGACGCCAACTTGACCAGTCAGAGCGCGCGCTTTACTTTGGTTATGTTATAAATTTATTTCTTGGTTTAGAAATCTTTCACTCGGTTAAACTTGCCAATGTCGTGCACATTTTATGATCAACACAATGCAAGGTGCCGATTTTTTCTATATCAAATCGTACACTTGTACTTTTGCTTTAACAGGCCAAAAAATCAATGGGAAGGCCTTGTGTGGTCTTGAGAAAGGGGATCTAAGGGAGATTGGTGTTATCTCAATGGGAAGGAGAGTGGAGATTTTTGCTAACATTACTGAGCTAATACAAGTACAGAGAGGAAACGCGGAAGCTAAGTCAGGTGATTTTTCAGTTTTGTTGGAAGCGTGTCGTCAGTACTGAAATGTTTTTATTATCGCTTCACCTTGGAAAAAATCCGAATGACCAACCTTTGTTCTTTATTCTGTTTGTTTTCAATGTACTGTAGATGCTCGAATTAGCGCCCAGCCTCAAATAAGCGCCCCGCTTTGAATTAACGCCCCTCCTAGGGCTCAAAATTTGTTCTAAGCGCCCCCCTTCAAATAAGTGCCCCCCCCCTCCCCCGAGAAAAAATGAGTTTCGGTACTCGGTACGATATATCAGATGTATACGGTCTATACGGTTCTTTTAATGAAATGTGACATTGTTAAATAGTATAAATAGTAATGTCTTTTCAAAGTCGGACGGGTTTGCTTCTCATTTCCTTGATAGAAATATCCATGTGAGCATATAACTGCTTCACTTTATTAAATTTCCTCGTAAAACTTTGCTCCCAATCGTAGGCTCCTTGTTACTCCCTTAAAATTTCCTGGAATTACGAGGCCAAATGCTTAGGAGAGACACGATATTTTAATATTAAAAATGTGTTTTTATTGTATGTTTAATTGAAGACAACTGCACATGAACCGCAGGCTTTTCTTTTTAGACAAAACACTTCACAATAGCAAACGCATCATTTTCTTAGAATTGTTTTATTGCAGAAATAAAATACACCTTTTGATGAAAAAGTTTTAAGAACGTTTCGAGTTCGCAGAAAGTAGTTTTCTATAAGGTTTTTGAATTTTTATGTTGCAGTATGGTTTAAATAGAAATAAA